AGAGGGTTCTTGAGAGAGAAAGTTCATCTTCACCAATTTGATTTTCAAAGTCACCCAGGCCCGGGAAATTTCAAGTAATTATCTTCACTTCCGTTCTTGCAGGTAAAATCTCCAACCCTTTTTCATTGGTTTTCATATTTAAACAAAAAGGGGGATTATCATGCATTGATTCTTGAAAACAAAGTTGAAATACACATGCATGGCCTTTAAAACCAAAATCCAGTAAGAAGAATTGGGTAGGAGTAAAGAATTGTAAAAGAAGGGTTGATAACCTAAATAAGTTTGGGTAGTAATTGTGAGCTTAAATTCTAAGTTATATGTGTCAACTTGTGAACTAGATTGACGTTGCTAGACTATTTGGTGAGTCGAAAGTAGAAGTTAAGAAGGGAATTCAGCTCCAGGTATGTATGGCTAACCTTGACCTTTGTAAAGTCACTTTGTTTGGCGTACGAATACTTGGTATGTGATGCCTATGTGAACTATTTGTGAATCCTTGTGATTGCTATGCCTTGAGTGTTCTTGGTTAAGTCTCCCGATATAATGGTGCGAGTGAATGGCAACAAACCAAATGTGTGCGTGAATGTGTTTATGTGGTAAGAGCTGTGTAACTAATGATGGAAAGAAGTCGTAATTGATGCAATTGAAACAACTGTGGTAATAACATATATGGCTTGTCGTGGGCAATTTTCGTTGTGACTCAAAATGCATATGAGCTGTTGTATTAGATGGAAATGGTATTGATAGTTATGGAAATTTCTTGTGAATTGTTGATTGTTGTTGTTTGTGAATTGTGATTGTTCGGTGGGATCGGGTTGCGCGCCGCAACACGAAGTAATAAGGTGTGGGTTGTGGTGATAAGGTGCAATGTGATTTGTCCAGTGGGATCGGGTTGCGCGCCGCAACACGAAATAATAAGGTGTGGGTTGTGGTGATAAGGGTGCCGAGGTAATAAGGGTGGCCGAGGTAATAAGGGTGGAAAAAGTGATCGAAATCACTATTGAAATCATTGATGTGATAATGTTGAAAGGGGAAAAAGGAGAGATTGTGAAACTTATTTGGCTTGATTGTTCCTTTCATGTGTACTTGATCCTTGGTTCTATTGCTATCTGTTACTTGTGTGTTATTTGAGTTTACTTGGGGCAAAGTTTGTTCATACATACCAGTACAATTCAAATGTACTGACGTCCCTTTTGCCGGGGGCGCTACATTATTGTTATGATTGTAGGTGGATCTATAGCAGGTACTCCAGTCCACCGACCGTAGCACTCCTTCACTTCCCGTCAGCTGAATTGGAGAGCCCCTTTCCTCCCGGGGCCCTGCGTGGCTCATGCCGCTTTTATTTTGGAGTCTTGTTTTGGGTATTTGTGTAAGGTATAGCCGGAGCCTTGTTACCGGCAAGTATTGTATCATCCTTTTGCATCCTTAGAGGCTCCGTAGACAGGAAATGTGGGTTGTGAACTTATGTAATATTTATTTTGTATGTTGGGCGATGTAAGTTGTAAACCACGCTAAGTAACCATGTTTGTTATGTATATTTCGTAAAAAGGTGTATTATAAATGGCTATTTCCTTTGATTAATGAGTAATGAAAACACGGGGTAACATGCGAGATAGGAAAGGCACCCAGGTCCGCTTGATTGGGGCTACCCGGTCGAGCGCCGGTCATGTCCCTCAGTTTTTGGGGCATGACAGTAGGCCAGCCATCTCTTGTTCCCAAGCTGTCATCCGGGTACTCCGGCGGCCTGTGATGGCCCCGCCTCATCAGCGATCTGCCCAGGTGGGGTGGCAGCTTGTGTAGCTCCCTCATCATCATTGTCGGTATTATCATCAACCGCCACAGCCTGTTCTTTCCCAACTGTGATCTTGCTAGCTTTGAATGGGGTTTTTAATGGCACCTTCCCATCTATTATGGGATTTTCAGGAACTCGTGAGGCACGACACATCTTGGTGACCAGGGACGGGAAGTAGAACCCTTTGAGTATTTTTGGGGAGCGAATGAACATTTCATCTTGAATGAGCCGGGCCACATCAAAATTGTGTTGGGTCATGAAACAGTAAATCGCCGCTGCTCTTGGCCCATTAACATCGGTGGTGTTGCTGGATTGCAGCAAACGGCTGTTGATGATTGTTAGCCAACACTTAGCTTCCCAAGTGAAAGATTGGGAGTTCAGGGTAATTCTGTGCTTTATCCATATTGGATCCCAGCTAGCCACACAGATTGATTCAATAATTGGTTGCCACCATACAGGTGGGCGTTGATAATCTTGGTAATAATCTGTCTCTCCAGCGAGCACTGGCAACCTGTACACTCGACGGATGGCCTCAAGAGACGCATCCAACGAGGTATTGCGGACCTTGACAACCCTATCAACATGTTCTGAGCAATTGGCATAAAATTCCCGTACTAGCAGCACATTGCCCTCTTCCGGTTCATTAAAGAAGATGTCCAGATGACGCCTCCTCAATTACTCATAGATACGTGGGCATTCAACTTGCAAGGCATGCCTGTCAATGTGTACTTCCGACACAGCTTCTTGGATGCCTTTGCATTAAACCTATCTTGAGCCGCTTTGGATACAAATCGAGTGCGGTCAAACTGGTCCGCACTAGCCTGAGCTCGAGCTCTGGATGAACCTCCTAGTCCATTAGCGGAGGAAACTGTGGCCCGTCTTTTTCTTGACTGATGCATTGTACCTGACAAAACAAGTGCTACTATTAGCGAGGATTTGAGTTGTGTGAACCCGGGGTAGTTACTCAGACTTCACCACCACCATGGTCACATTAACCATTACAACTCAATTGGGGCAAATTCACAAGCACCTGGTGTGCATAGAACTACGATTAAACACATCTATCCCATGGAAGTATAAACTTTCCCCCAAAATCAACCATTATTACTTCATAACTCCACCCTACTACAATTAACTTCACACAACAACACCATGCTCTTCTCTACAACAATTTAAACATTACCCACTAAAAAGAAGAAAAGAAAACCAAAAATCTAACTGTAGATACTACAACAATTCAAGCATTAAAATTGCAAAATAGAAAGGTACAAGAAGAGAGATGGAAAGCATGACATACCTGGTTCTTGTAGAAGTGTGGAGTAATGGAAGGTGGGGAGGAGGGGCGAAAGTGTGAGGGGGGGAGGGGGAAGAAGCGGGTTTGTAGGGGATGGGAAGAAGAAGAAGAAAGGGGTGTGGGGTTAGGGTTTAGGGTTTAGGGTGAGAGTTAGGAGTGGGGAAAGTGGGGGTGAGGGGGGCGGTTAGTTTTGTTTAGAAGAGAGAGAGAAGAGAAAATAAAAAAAAATTATTTACAACTTACCTGGGCGACAACTGGGTGCGTTTCACCGCGGTCGCGGTGAAAAAGGAACACAAAACAGAATACTCGCAAATCACCACGCCCGTGCCGCGGTCCCACCGCGGTCACGGTGACCCAGAAACAGAATACCTTGAAATTGCCGTGCTCCGGGCAGCGGTCGTAGTGACAGGCTTCCGCAAATTGTTTATTTTTTTTTAAAGTTTAGTTTCATACACCTCAAGTACAACATCAAAACAAAAGAAAACATGGGTTGCCTCCCACACAGTGCCTGATTTAACGTCGCGGCACGATGCATTCTCATATCATCACTCCCCATTTGTGTATTGGGGCTCTTCCAACATTATCACCACGCTGTCCCCTTTTTCTTCAGTCATTCCAAGGTAATGTTCAACCTCTGCCCATTCACTGTGACTTTGTTCGTCCCATCTTCAGATCGATCTCCACAGCTCCACTTGGGAACATTTGCACCACTCTGAACGGTCCTGACCATCGGGACTTCAACTTACCCGGGAACAACCTCAATCTTGAGTTATATAGCAACACTAATTCTCCGGGTTTGAAGTTCCGATCCAAGATGTGCTTATCATGCATCAGTTTCATCCTTTCTTTATATAGTATAACACTCTCGAATGCCTGGAACCGGAATTCCTCAAGCTCATGTAATCCATTAACTCTGTTGGTGCCCGCTGTCTCCATGTCTAAGTTCAACTGCCGCAATGCCCATAGTGCTTTGTGTTCTAGCTCAACCGGAAGGTGGCATGCCTTTTTAAATACCAACTTGTATGGTGACATACCAATTGGAGTTTTGAAGGCTGTGCGGTATGCGCATAATGCATCATCCAGCTTCCTTTCCCAATTAGTTCTTGTTGCATTCACTGTTTTTGAGAGGACACTTTTGATTTCCCTATTGGACACTTCCACCTGCCCGCTTGTTTGTGGGTGTTATGGTGAGGCTACCTTGTGGCGAACTCCATACTTCTCCAATAGGCGTGCAAACGCTCTATTGCAAAAATGAGGGCCACCATCACTGATTATGGCTCGGAGGGTGCCAAAACGTGTGAAAATATTTTTCTTGAGGAAACTGGTCACCCCTTTCGAATCATTGGTCGGGAGAGCAACTGCTTCGACCCACTTGGAGATATAGTCAACGGCAACCAGTATATACTTGTTACCGTATGAGCTGACGAAGGGCCCCATGAAGTCGATCACCCACATGTCAAACACTTCCACCTCTTGGATTGTGGTTATTGGCATCTCATGACGATAGGATATGTTGCCCGTCCTTTGACATTCATCACAGCTTTTGACCCAAGCATGGGCATCCTTGAACAATGTAGGCCAATACAGGCCTGATTCCAACACCTTTGCTGCTGTCCAAATTCCTCCAAAGTGTCCACCATATGGTGAAGCATGGCAAGCCTGTAAAACAGAGGGCCGATCTTGCTCGGGGATACACCGCCAGATCATGTTATCAACACATATTTTGAACAATAGGGGTTCATCCCAATAATACACACGACAATCACGGAAAAATTTCTTCTTTTGAATTGAGGAGAGATCATGAGGTACAATACCACATGCTAAGTAATTAGTAATATCAACATACCATGGTGCCTCCTCTATTTTCATAGCAAGTAATTGCTCATCCGGGAATGTCTCAATGATATCTTCAACCTCTGCTCTCTTCTCTGCCCCTTCCAACCTCGAGAGGTGGTCTGCTACTTGATTGCCTGTCCCCTTTCGATCACGAATCTCCAGGTCAAATTCATGTAGTAACAGAACCCAGCGAATCAAGTGGGGCTTTGACTCCTTCTTTGCTATCAGGTACCTAATGGTTGCACGGTCAGTATAAACAATAACTTTTGAGCCGATAAGATATGACCTGAATTTGTCGAAGGCAAACACTACAGCGAGCACTTCCTTTTCCGTGACCGTGTAGTTCAGCTGTGCACCGCTAAGCGTCCTGCTTGCATAGTAAATTGGGTGCATAATTTTCTCCTTTCGCTGCCCGAAAATTGCTCCTATAGCATAATCACTGGAGTCGCACATCAGCTCGAATGGTTGCTCCTAGTTGGGTGCAACAATGATGGGTGCAGTCACCAATCTCTTCTTCAGCTCCTCAAATGCTAGCCTGCAATCATTAGAAAACACAAAGTGCTGTTCTTTTTCAAGCAGCTTACATAAGGGGTTAGCAATTTTTGAAAAATCCTTGATGAACCGCCTGTAGAACCCGGCGTGCCCAAGGAAACTTCTCACTGCTTTTACTGAAGTAGGTACTGGGAGCTTCTCAATCACCTCAACTTTTGCATGGTCTACTTCTATTCCCTTTTTGGAACTCTATGCCCCAACACTATGCCTTCTTGTACCATAAAATGGCACTTCTCCCAGTTCAGCACCAAATTTGTCTCCACACATCGTTTGAGCACTCTTTTAAGGTTGTGAAGACAATCTTCAAATGAATCCCCTACCACGGAGAAATCATCCATAAACACCTCCATAATGTCTTCGACCATGTCGGTGAAAATGGATAACATACACCGCTGGAATGTGGCCGGTGCATTGCAAAGTCCAAAGGGCATCCTCCAAAAGGCAAAGATGTCATACGGACATGTGAAGGATGTTTTCTCTCTATCTTCCGGGGCTATTGAGATCTGATTATACCCCGAGTATCCGTCCAAGAAATAAAAATAGGACCGCCCAGCTAACCTGTCTAACGTCTGGTCAATGAAGGGTAAGGGGAAATGGTCCTTTCGAGTGGCTGCGCTTAATTTCCTGTAATACATGCAAATCCGCCACCCTGTGACTGTACGAGTTGAGATCAACTCGTTCTTCTCATTTTGTACAACTGTCATTCCACCATTTTTCGGTACACACTGGACGGGACTTACCCAATTGCTGTTACAGATGGGAAAGAGGATGCCCGCGTCCAGCCACTTGATTACCTCCTTTTTCACTACCTCCTTCATATTCGGGTTCAGCCTTTCCCTATAAGGTTTGTGTCCTTCTTCTAGACGAATCTTGTGCATGCGGAAGGCCGGGCTGATACCCTTTATGTCTGCCATGGTCCAACCAATAGCAGTTTTGCATTCCTGCAACACCTGCAGTAATTGTTCTACCTGCACAGCTAGCAACCCATATGATATAATATCAGGCAAAGTAGAATTGGGACCCAAGAAAGCATACCTGAGGTGGGCTGGAAGCGGTTTCAGCTCCAGCTATGGTGGTTCCTCTATTGATGGTTTTGCAGGTGCTGTAGCCCTCTTTTCTAACTCAAGGGGCTCGAACTCAGGCTCCCTCTTCCAAAATCCTTGGCCTTCAAGTTCCATAACCCACTCTGCCAATCCTTCACCATCCATCTCCTCTAAATTTGTCAAGCAAGCTCCCAATGGATCTTTGGTGTTCAGGGTCTCATCGTCTTCATACAGGATCACATCCACAACTTCCACTAGTGAGCAATTTGCATATTCACCGGGTCTCCTCATGGATTGTTGAACGTTATTACTTCTTCATCGTTCAACCTCATTTTTAATTCCCCAGTTTCACAATCAATCAATGCTCTCTTAGTGGCTAAGAATGGCCTCCCCATAATGATGGGTATCTCCTCATCAACCTAACAGTCCATAATAACAAAGTCTGCAGGGAATACAAACTTCCCCACTTGTACCAGCAGATCATCAAGAATCCCCGTCGGTCTTTTAACCGTACGGTCAGCCAGTTACAACAGCATCGAAGTCGGTCTA